TAAAACATTTCTGGTTTCTGTGGAACCAGGACGCCACCTTGCCAGTCGGCCCACATTCCAATTTGCAACAGCATCACTAATTCGTCTTCTCTCATTTCTACATTGAATTTTAGTTTATGGACAAGTTCCACTAAAAATTTAAACCAATCTGACAACTTAGCAACAGGTGTTACCACTCAACTAGCCACTTGCCAACATTCTACAAACGTCCCATCAAACTTTCACGTTTTTTTAAACAGAAAGATTCAACTATGACCACTTTTTCATTACTTCTTGTACTTTTAGCACTTAGCTGAAATGAGACAACTCATATTGTTGGTCAACAATCACCCCCATGCATCTTGTTGAAGAAGCCTTGAAATAATTCGGTTTTCGCAGCTGCAACTCAACAAACGCTTTTACCCACTAAGCAGTAACTCAGCAACTAATAATTCCACTCTGTGTTGACCAGACCGAATTAAAACAGGGTTTTAAGTACCTGCAGTACTCTATAATCACACCATGCATACCCAGAGCAACCTTAATATGTTGTAGCCTCTCATGCTGCACTCCTCCTTTTGGATTAAAAGTTAATAACTACCTTAAAAATGATTTTACAGTATGGCTTCTCTGCAGCCTCAGCGGAGGAGTGAGCCAAGTTCCCCAGCTCAGCCCTTTCTTTTCCTCTTTCTTTTTCTCTTTCTTTCCCCGTCCTTTCCTGTTTCTCCCACTCTCACTCTCTGCCTGTCTTCATGCAGACTTCCTAATCCTATTTCTCTCTCTGCCATTCTGCATCTTTCTCAAACTAAAGACACCATTCCCTAGAGAAATCGTTGCCCTTTGCTCCCGAGAATATTTCCCCTATACTCAGAATTTGTCCAATTTCCTCCTATAATTGCTTCATATTTTCTAATCTGACTTTAAAACCTTGCCTACTTGACATTAATATAGCCTCAGCCTTGCTGCCCTCTGGGGATTAAATAAGGCGGGGGGTATGGCAGAAAGACTTAAAGGATTCAGCAGCAGTTAGAATCAGGTAACTCTTTTCAAGTATTCAGTTTGTAACAGTTGCACCAGATTTAATTAAGAAGCCACTTGTTTGACAGCAAGTTCATTCTTTAATGTCACATTAACATTTTACTTCAAAATCATCAGCACGCTAGTTTTTTTTACACATCCCTTCCAATGAAAATCAAGTTTTTTACCTTGTATATGGTGTTCTAATCTGCTGGTAGACATATGAGAGAAAAAAGCAGCTAAGTCCATTACTGAGAATTTGTGCCTTGAAACAGCAGGGTACCGATGACAGTGTCAGAAGCACATATTAAGACTTCAAGAGTTTCAGATGAAACAAACTTTAGGAAACAAGCTTGTACTTGCAGGGTTTGGCTAACCA